AATATACCTACAAGAATTGATAGATTTGTCTAGCATAATATGTTGTTCGACGCACGCGCACACGAACGTGCAGGTTAGGTACATAATGCGTATTTAATGTAATTTCCAAGATTATTATTATTATTATTTTTTGTCGTCTCGATTTAGGTATKTACCTATCAATTCTATATACACAGATGATGGTGGATCGTGGATGACGGAATAAGATAATAATACGAGCGAATCGGTGCCAGTATCGTTTCGTTCTTTTTTTCTATTATGTGCACCTCCRTAATATTATTGTATATTTTGTACCCTAAAAAACAAAAAAATAAATCATAATAAATGACTTTTTCTTCGACGGTAACGCGATATTGTCATGACTTATGATGTAGGTAAAGGTAGGTAGTCGTTATTATACCGCGGCATATGATGTATATATTATAATAGGAATAGGAGACAAAGTGGATTTTACCCGATGTGTCGCGATTCCGAAGGCTGACACTGCRAACACACACATACACGTACTAAATTATATCATATTATATATGTACAATAATAATAATTAAAATGATTACTTACGATTTGGTGCGAGGAAACCATCGTAGAAGGTACAACCAGCGCGTGGTAAACCTCATACAATTTATTTTAATATTGTGTAATGTATATTTACTMCGCACTTTTTTATCATAATAATAATATCGTATTTTATATAAATAAAATAATAATATAATATACCACTGCCGTTAAGCACATTCACCGTTTCAACCTCCCCCCCCCCTGGCAACCCGTGGGCGTAGATCGATTATCGTGTGCGCTTGTACTGGAATGTTTTATAACTGCATGTGTACCACGAGTATGCAGGTGTATTGGTGTATACGAAATAAAAATAAATAAATAAAACAAAAGTGAGACGTCTTATTATTTCCTGATGTGTACCAACGACCGCTCGCTTTTTTCGTACTATGTCGCGTTTTMAATGYTACGGCGTCTCGAGATGCGTGTTTTTATTTTTATTTTTTTTTACCAAGTGATTTCTCTCCCTATCTCTTACCAAAGTACCATCAACATGACTCTCGGTAAAAGTCAACTCGGTATACTAGATATGCGTACGCTTACACAGACAAAAAGAAATTTATATACACGTGTATGTAATGTGTAAAAATATAGATGTGATGTAAGGTACCTATATGTCGAATAATTCTCGTAAAATATACAAATTTTTTATCARTTGAATAAAAATGACTTATAATATACCTCTTGCGTATGTGAATTGAAGTTATAATTAACCTAATCTATGATCTAACGATTCTTGTACGGTACCTGAACTTACGAATATCCGTAGGGTCGGGACTGAAAGAATAAAAACGTTACCATCGTGAATTCAAACAATCCCTGTAAACTAAAATATGTATTTCTACGTATTACGTAGTATAATATTATTTGATGTTTCAGATTATCTCAGATGATTTCGTCTGTGGCTATGGTACCATCAATTTTGGCGGCTGGAATTTTTCTGCAAACGCTCATACCAGGTAAGACTATGACCATTATGATAKAATTATATACACGTAGAATATTTTTTATGAATATTTCATTATCCTGGATAAAAAAAATCAACATTAGATTCATTATATGACGGTGTGGATTTAATCAAGAGACCATAAAAAGTAACTGTTTCGCATTAGGAACATATTTAATAAAACAAAATTAAATTAACTCGCATTATATTAAAATATAGGTAGGTAATGACCATAAATATTATGTTAGGTATCACCCATAACCACGAATGTTGCGGTTTGATTTTATAATGTTTGTTTTTAATGATGGTGTGTGTGTGTGTGTGTGTGTGTTAATACAATTTCAATAATTTATGTGAGAACATTGAGTTAAATCTGAATTTACCCCGATTTACCGTCTCTCTAATTCGTTTTCCGAATCCCTCACGTTTTCCAGTATTGTCACGTACGAAAAATCCTTTTCACATTATTATCCTGCTCAAACAATAACACGTTTAATCGTTTAGATTGTCTATGGCTGTGCCGTCATTCTTGTCCCCGTGACGAATAATATATTATTGCATGATAATAGATCGAACCAAATGAATACAATTATTGGTGCACTTCATAATATTAAGCTGTTGAAGTAGGTATTTGCATTAAAATATTCGCGATGATTTACGTTTTAATCGATATAATGTGTACATAGTGTTACTACCTGCACCTATAATATACTGCAGGATAATATAATATTTTACGCTATTTTAAATCGTAGCTCACTATCTGTATTTTTTACGAGTGTACATCATAATAGATATATTATGCTATTCAATATTACTCTGTCAGTTAAAAGTTACTGAATTATTATTTTTGTACCCCGTGCTGTGGCTATTATAGGGTTTTATGATTTCAGGATACGTAGTAACTTGTTGAGAATTCTCTGTAATGCTGGAGAATGGAGAATTAACCTATCAATTACTTACTGTTTATTTAACTTTATATTTTCTAATTTCATATGTTCATAACTATACGGGTTTTTTATCATCAAAACAAGGTAACTTATAAGCGAAAAACAAAATAAATCTTAATTTTTTTTGGTATCTAGTCGAATCATATTGTGTTTTCCATAACACTGCAATGACTGTGCCAGTGCATACTATTWTGTTCCATCGGCAAGATTAATATGAACTGAGTGGACTTCTTTGTTGGACTCACCTCAATGCACTACACCAGTTTTTTGCACCCAGTACAATAATAATCATACGAGCTCCAGGAACTAAGGCGCCTTATCATTATCAATTTATCATGATACACAATATCCATTAAATATTTTATTATCTTTATGTATCAGTGATAAGTATAGATTTTATGTTTCATCTACACTTGCACCATCTCACACTAGGACGATTATCAGTGAACTATACCAGCGCCACCTTCGTACAATATAGTGCGATATGGTGGAAAACGCTATTAATAGTCACAAGACTAAAAAATCATCAGCAAATTCCAACCAAAATGTTGTACGTTCATCGCCACACATAATAATTCGTAACAATTATAAATTTGTATAAAATATGAGTACCAAAATATAAAAATCGTAAGATATGCTGATGGACGAGTTTTCTGTCGTTCGCGGTCCGCTGATTACCTATAGCGATTATAAGTTATTTAAAACCATAGATCATGGTATTTTTATACAAAAAGTTTCAGTGGATATATTTTGCTGCTCAATRTTATTCTGATAAGAGGTACTAAATCGTTTTATCCTGTGTTAAAGGATTGTCTGGAAACTTAACTCGGGGGCAACGAAGAATATTTCTTGTACTGTTCAGGATAACCATGGATATTGAAAATTGAACAGTATCCAATTGCCTGATAACTATATAATATTAATCATTATGTTATTAGAAGAAACTACTACTGTTATTCAATGACATAAATCAATAAATTTGATATTCAGATTTTTACTATTAAAATAAATAATACACAGTTAATATATACGAAACCGTTTTGTTGATTTCAAGATTTTTAACGTGGTTTCGGTTTTGGTTTTATAGTAGAATTTGGAATTTTCAGTGTTGGTTTTATCGTAGAATTTGGAGTTTTCGGTTTTTGTTTTATCGTTGAACTTGGAGATTTCGATCTTCTTCTATTAGGTAAATTTTCTCTGCGCGTGTCATTCTGCCCCCGTGCAAAATAACCAAGCAAAAATCCAGTTATCAGACCTGAACTAATCTGAATAGGTCGTGCCATTACTGTACTATTAAAATAAGTAAAATATAATATAATATATTATAATAGGTGTTTTATACGTGTTTCATATATTTATTTTTTTGTTTATTGCTGTATAACGTTATAATAAACATACATCAAAATCAATTGGCCAATATAATACTAYATATTTTGTTAATGGTGTTATTAATGTTTAATAATAAAAATGACTTGATATACAGAAAGTTCGTCTTAAACCTGWTAAATATTCGTTCAAGATTTGATATTTTTAATAACGATAAAATATTGAATAAAATAACTGAAATAAATAAAGCATTGTTAATCTAATCGTTATAGGGGCCCTGCGATAATCATTGGACGCGTGTTGTACAATTTACGTACCATTGATTATCCGTTGTATAACCGACTAAAATTAATATATACCATGATAATAATATTTATTGTCTTATAAATGGATATTTYAGTAATATTAATGTAATGGTTTAAAATAAAAGGGGGTTTATAATAATATTATTATTTATATATTACCTATCCAATCTTTGAATTGGCTTCCCAATTTAAACCGTGGTTAGCGTCAGAGGTGCAAGGTGAGGTAACCGATTTGTATTTTAAAATAATAAAACCTTTTTCTTTAGTCTATTAATATTACTTATAATATTACTAATTATATAATATATATATATATATAATTATTAATTAATAATTTTTACTACCATAATAGTAGGACTTTACACTCTGATTACTGTATTGTTTAGGCATCTCTATTAAATTTTTAAATTTTTTAAAATACTATATTTATATTAATGTTCAATTTCAGTTTATTAAGAACATATTAAATAGTTAATACTGAATATTAACTATTTTAAATAGTTCCATTTCTATGGCCAGAAGTCCCGTCTTATAGGTACTTTAAGGTTTCGTATTTTAAAATATATTATAATATAGATTACATATGTTAAGAAAATTGCAGTTGCTGTATATGGAAAATATGCATCAAATTCTACTAGCAGTTAAGTATAGGTGCCTATATTATAAAATAAAAGAWTTATTATACAATTTATATAATAATATGTTATTATGTTATATTATAATCTATGAAATAATGTAATGTAGGTATTTATTATAATGCATGATACGATATGATAACAACTTTGTTTTTGATAATAACAAAATGATAACGACGGTGGTGGTCTAATCGACTGCGTATAGACAGACCCAGACAGACCCACCATTATCG